CTACCTCAGGTTCGGCTGGATTGAAAGCTGCGTTGTCGACTTCAACAATTGCCTACTCTTTGCTCTCTGCTCTTCCAGTTACTCCAGTTGTATCTGTTGAAACAGGCTGTCAAAAATATTTGAATTACTTATAAGCTATTGACTTAGTTCCCTGTTGCAAGAAGAAATGCGATACTTACGTCAAAGCCGAGTATATCAAAATTGACATAAGGTTCAGATATTTTAACGTTTGATGTCAGCCCGCTTCTATCCAATCTTTCACCGGAATTGTTACAGCATTTCTTGCACTTACAGCAATTAATATCTGCAACATAAATTATAATATTGTGTTAAACAAAACGTTGCAATTGGTCGGATTTATCTGTTACTGTTACTTCAAAGTGCTTGTTGCTACCTGCTGAGGACATATCACATGGCTATGACCATCAGTGTACCAAGAGTTCCAACAACAACACCTATCACCATTCCTTTAAGGGCGCTTTCGTCCTTAATGCTATCAATTTTAATAAATCCAAATCTTAAATTAGTTTTGCCTCCAAATCATTCCGCCTCACCATCTACAATTGCGTCCGAGGCATCAAAGATGACAGATGTTGACCCGCGCGGTTGCAAGCAGATGAGAGAGTAGTGATCTTGACCTCGTATGAAGACATCCCTGGCAGTCGAAGAACAGCAGTATAGTCAGTATGCATTTCCTTCGGACTGAGGTCGTCACTGGATTCTGTCTCTCGTTGAGACTTGAAGAGGGTGTTGTTAGGTTCCATGTACTCGATGGATGCCTTCTGCCATTTATGATGTTTGAAAGTCCAGAGTTTGAACTCGACCTTGGGAACAGATATCGAATATCTTCGCCCTTCATTCGGCTGGGCATTCTCTTTCCATTTCATCAACACCGACTCTTTGGTCAGTCTTGTCGCGTTCAGCGCAATGCTTCAATTTTGCTCTAAAAGAAAATTTAATTATGATGTTAATTTTATCATAAAAAAATTAGTGATTTTGTTGAAGCAAAACAGAAGAAATAATTGTATTTATCTTAAGTTTGTAGCAACAATTCTTCCCAAAAAATGGGCGCGCGCACGCGCACCGCAAGATGCCGTTTTTCTGCGCAGGATAAACGGGTTCGGCCCGCAACGGGCAGATTCTGGCAGCAACACTGCCGGTCGGACATTCAAACAGGAATGTCAGCACTCATAAGAAAACAATTATCAACAGCTGAGCTCGCTCCATTTTGCAATGTCACTCGTACATGCCAATGAAGCTATAATGAGATTGACGATTGACGACGTCGTAATTAAATTGAAACGTCACTCATAAAATCGTTGGGTTGTTCCTAGTTCCAACCCTCCGGATAGTTTTCATAAATTGTCAGGCTCTAGGGTGAACCTCTCTTGCGTGTTTTTTTGTATAGTTATTGTACAAATTCTTATCATAGAAGTTTTAGCTGCTGAAATAAGTTCCGTGTTGCCAAATCTTGCTTTGTGGTAACCTAGTAACCTTAAAAACCAAAATTCATTTTTTTAATAAACGATGCACAATAATTTTAAGTCGCACAAATTGACAGAAAACTTTAAGCTCTCGCGCTCCAAAGGTAAATATCGCGTCATTTGTGTAATAAAAGTAAACGTTGACTCAACTTTTTCAGAAATTTTGAACTGTCGCTGCTGACACTCGCAGAGGGAATTGGCAGAGGGTTTTAAAAACAGGAGCCTGAAATGAATCCAACACCTTCAGGCAACGAAGACCATCATCATCAGGAGTATTTTCAATCTAAGTACTTAATCTTAATGATACTCAGTTTTATTTTTCTCTTTGTTGGAGTGCTTGGAAATACAGCGGTCATCTTTTACAACATATGTTTAAACAATGAGCGAACGCTTAGCAGCTGGCTGATAACGAATCTTGCTATTGCTGATCTTTTGGTCTGCCTCTCAATCTATCCAAAGACGATTATTCGGTACTTTCTATGTACAGAGGAATATGACGATATTTTTTACAATTTAAGTAAAAGCATTATTCATTTCTCCCTGTTTCTTTCAACGACAATGTTACTGTCCATCACCGTTGATAGATACGTGTTTATAGCAAAGCCTCTGCGGTATCCAATCATGGTAACATCGCGAAGAATTCAGGCGGTCCTCTGTTCCATTTGGTTTACGGCCGTTTTGCAACTTCCTCTTGTGTATATTTACAGCAAAGGACAGAATTATCGTGTTCGATCAAATGCAGTGAATCCATTCCCTCTGTTACGAATCTTAATGCTGTCAATTCCCGTTGTTGTCATAGGGATTCTGAACTACAAAATGTTGAAGATCGTTCAACGGCAAAGAAAATGGAAGGCTCCAAGAAATGTGGTACATCCTGAGGCTGAAATATCCGGGCCAGAATTAATACGGACAAAATCCAAAGTGGCCTGGTTACGTCGGATTTTGAAGCAAATGAAGGCAATAAAAACCTTCACTATTATATTCGGAGTTCTGACAGTTTGCTTTGCTCCCTACTTTGTTGTAATGACAGTATGGTCTACATGTTTTTCATGTTTCGCCGATTTCAAATCAGCTCTTCTTTTGCTTTCTTGGGCCCAGGAAGTCGTTGGCATCAACTCGATTGGCAATTCCTTTATCTATGCATTGAGACATAGAATGTACTTAAGAGCTTATAACAGACTCTTCTCTTCTTTATGGCATCGACTAACTAAGCAATAAAATTAAGATATAATAGTACGTTATATGTATAATAATTAAGAGGAATTATGGACTGATCCCGAGGAAAACATGACTTTGTTTGTGGACTCGAGACCATCAATGTTTCACGAGGCAAGATTCAAAGAAAACAACGGGTGAAAATACGGAATAAAAACGAGGGCAAAACTCAGAGAGAAACTTTTACTTTTGAACTTTCAATTTGTTAGGGTCTGTCGAACCAATTTCGTTGGATCCAATTCACTTCTGACAGACGTATGGAATATAGTCGCTTAGTGCATTGGCTTCAGTGGATTTGCTGCTCATATACATTACATAACAAGACAACAGACTATGAAACATCCATCAGAAGTGAATTGGATCCAACAAAATTGGATCGTGCGAACAGAACTTTAGGAAATGAAGATAAAGAATTCGACTGAGATATAAAGGTCATTTGTCGCGAGATGTGACGTAGGATTGTGACGTCAAATTAGTTAAAATCTGACAAACAAGATTTTACGGTAAAGAGTTATTGCCTTTCACGTGACGTGCATGTAAAGAAATGAACTTTGAAACTTGCTATATAATAGGGAGCTTTAGCAGAGACTACGAGTACGAGTGCGAAAATTATCCCATTAGAATTCCATAATTATATATCCCATTGGAATATATTAAATGAGACTATGGAAACGTTGCACGTGCGAGAGACTGGTCAGACCATCGTGGGAAAAATACAGTAACGCCGACTTGTGCGATTTATAAAAGGATTAGTGTGTGTAAGATTTTTATATTTAGTCTAAAAAACCAACAATTTTGTGCCGCCTAAAATCGAGAGAGTTTTAAAACGTTTTTTAAAAAAAAACGCGTATGTACATGAGAGGTACATGAAAGCAGCCCTAAGTAGAAAGCAACTCTGGCCTTATTAACTAGTAGCGTAACCAGCTATATGTGTTAAATAATTGAAAATTGAAAGCATTTAAAATTTTTCGTCCGTGTAAATGTAAAAATCGTGTAAATGGAAAGGAGCCTTTGTACCCATTACCACAGTTAACCCCTTTTATACACACCATTACCCACGTAAAAGTCAAAATGCTTATAATATATGTTATCTTTAAAAAGATAAGTATAAAAATCGAAAGCACTTGTTGTAGTATTCATTTACTGAACCAAATGTTAAAAAATAAAGAAATTACAAGCATTAGAATTGAAAAACACTGTAAATTATGCAAATTTCATTTTATTGTTTAATTATTCATTTCCCATGGCCAGAAAATTCGGACATAATTAACATTCTACTTCCGCCTAAATTTGCATATGGTGTCAAAATAAAGCTTCGTGAGTTTATAGTAAACTGTAATGTGCACAGTACTAAACGCTAAAAATACACCTTTAGGTAGGTCAATTATAATTTGCCTTAATTACTCGTTGCAGAGCAAGTTAATCTTAATATTTTTATATAGTATTTCAAAATATTTTATCAGTATTCGTCCTGCATTTTCAAAAAAAAGTTTGATTATTTATCACGTTGAATACCATATAAAACAAAAACCGTAATAGCGTAGAAATAAAATAAAAATGCAGAGCCAACATAAACCTTTACCAGCAAAATATTACCTCAGGATCTTTAATATGACACGAATTACAAGAAACAACCAGGGCAAATTGCAAAGATGCAATGATTTTCTTAAATTTTGCGAAATTTAAGAATGCGCAATATAATTTATAGTTCTGCAAACGAATAATATTTGAACAGATATGCAAATTTGCTACGGCAATCTGCATATTCGATGTCCGCAATTTCTGGCCATGGTTTAGAAATTCATTGTTTTTACAGCATCAAAAAATTAGTATGGCGGCACTTAATTGCCAGGCTGGTTTAGCTGGGAAAGCAGCCTTTCCAAACCTTTGAAATGATCGACAATCATGCAGAACTAATCCTTTAGATGAGCTTGACTGAATGCTCTGAAAAGAAAGCGATCGCAAAAAAAACGATCGCGCGCCATTTTGCACCAAATGGAAATCCAGCCTAATTCCATGGATCCATGGATCCCTCACGTGCTTGCGTGCCATTATGAACAACTTTTGTCATTCGTGTCACGAGCGGTGCGTCATTAAGATTTTTAATATACGATACACAATAACGGTAAGATAGACAAAATAACAGAGCACTTGAAGCTCTTGTGTTCCAAAGACAAATGTCGCGTCATTTATATTAAAAGTAAACGCGATGATTCAATTTCTTCAGATGTTTTGAACTGTCGCTACTGGCAGAAGGAATTAGCAGAGGGTTTTTAAAAAAGGAGCTCGAAATAGAGAAGAATGATATCAACACCTTCATACGACGAAGACGGTCGTGATCATGAGTATTTTCGATCTATATGCTTAATCTTAATGATACTCAGTTTTATTTTTCTCTTTGTTGGAGTGCTTGGAAATACAGCGGTCATCTTTTACAACATATGTCTAAACAACGAGCGAACGCTTAGCAGCTGGCTGGTAACGAATCTTGCTATTGCTGATCTTTTGGTCTGCCTCACAATTTATCCAAAGACGATTATTCGGTACTTTCTAGTTCATAAGAAATATGACGACGTTTTTCACAAGTTCAGTAACTCCACTCTTCATTTCTCCCTGTTTCTTTCAACGACGTTGTTACTGTCCATCACCGTTGATAGATACGTGTTTATAGCGAAGCCTCTGAGATACCCAATCATGGTGACAACGCGAAGAGTTAAGGCGGTCCTTTGTGTCATTTGGTTAACTGCCACGGTACAGCTTCCAATCGTGTATATTTTCAGCAAAGAACATTCAAAACTGGAGATTGATTTTGTTCGGTCAAATGCAATAGATCTATTTCTGCTCTCAAGGGTTATTTTGCTGTCAATTCCCATTGATGTCACAGCGATTCTCAACTACAAACTGTTAAAGATTGTTCAAAGGAAATGGAGAATTCCAAGAAAAATGATGCATCCTGAGCAAGAAGACCATGAACAAATGCCAAAACGCAATGTAGCCTGGTTACGTGAGCTCTTGAAGCAAATGAAGGCAATAAAAACATTCACAATTATATTCGGAGTTCTGACAATTTGTTTCCTGCCCTATTTTGTTGTGATGACGCTATGGTCTACCTGTTTTTCATGTTTCACTGATCTCAAATCAGCTATAGTAATATTATCTTGGGCCCAGGAGGTCGTTGGCATCAACTCGATTGCTAATGCCTTTATTTATGCATTGAGACATAAAGAATACATAAGAGCTTATAACAAACTCTTCTCTTCTTTATCGCGCCAGCAAACCAAGGTTAATGTTTAGGTTACAAGTGACCGCTTATGAGTTAAAACCAGTCATGAAGATATGACCTCGTGAAGTCCGCTTAAAATTATTATTCGTGGGGTAGATTAGATCAATGAATGCTATACCATATTCATGATTCACGAATGTAGAAGTTAGTTTGCACGAATAAAGCCAAGCCTGACCTGACTGTAGATTGTTATTCAACTAGTTTAGAGAGATGTTTTTGTACAGCGCATCGTTATAATTATGAACATATACTTGACATATAAAGTTTGTAAGCAGAGCGTTAATAAAATTAAAGTTATTGTCTCATATAAAAAATGCTGTACAGCAACCTCACAAGCCAGGCTTTTCTACCAACGCTCCACGGCCCATGCTGCAGCGAAAACCCTCCGGCGAAATCTCAAATTAAAGTAATATGATTGGATGAGGATGTTTTGAATGTGATTTGAATGGCTATATCGCTGATTAAGGCGGCCGCGCACGAGAGCTATCAGCTGAGTGAGAGACTTCGCGAGGCAGTTAGTTCGACCCGAAAAGCATCCGCACACGTGAGAAACTTGCTGAGCTAAAAGCCTCGATCGCGAGGTCTTTAGCTCAGCTAATAGAGACCTTTAGCTGACGTTTACGGCGAACGCCAAACGGCTAAAAGTTTGTGTTTTAACTCCACTATCTTTTAGTGTGCGGCAATTTCGCTAAATTACCAACGTTCTACATAAAACTTTGGATGGTCAGCGAAATGTAAGAAAGCAATAGGCTATTTCTGATGTATTTAGAAAAGCAGCTAATTCAGCTTTGCCGTATGTGTTTCACGTTCGCCGTAAAAATTTTAATGCTTGAACGGCCGAGGGTGTATGCAGTCGTTCAAGCAATAAATTTTATACGGCGAACGTGAAACACATAGGGCAAAGCTGAATTAGCTGCTTTTCTGGATACATCAGAAATAGCCTTACATTACTGCTGAACATCACAAGTTTTATGCAGAACGTTTGTAATTTAGCGAAATTGCCGCACACTTAAAGATTGTGGAGTTAAAAAACACAAACTTTATTCGCGGTTTGGCGTTTGCCGTAAACGTCAAACTAAAGGTCTCTAATAGAGAGATTTAGCATGAGGACGTGAACGTCAAAGATGACGTGAAAATGGCAAATGAATGGCTTGTAGCATGTCCATACATAGACACATCACGTCATCAATAATAGCTCTCGTGTGCAGCGGTCTTTAAGGCTATAAAGGCCGTTTTCCACCAGAACCGTATCGTATCGAAACGCAACGTTCCTCCTTGTTTTAAAGTCATTAGTTCTGGTCGAATACTCCGGGTCCGAAAACAAAGAAATACGTTACATTACGTTACGTTACGTTACGTTACGTTACGTTACGCTACGATACGGTTGAAGTGAAAAACAAGCCTAAAAGGAATAAGTAAAGTGTCCAGGAGCGAGAAGATTCCAAACTTGAAATTTTTCTTAAAAGTTGTTGGTAGTGTTTCACGTCTATTTTGGCGAAAAACTTTTGAGGTAAGATTCTGATATCGTAAATAGTGCACATATTACTTAAAAAATTCCTGAACTAAAACCTAAATTCCTAAAAGGATAAACAGAACTCTTCAAAATTCCTATTTTTAAGGAATTACCCTAAAAATAAGTGCACTGATAAGCACAGTTGCCAAATTTACATCTCTCAAAAAGTTGAATTGGATTGCAAGTTGCAAGAATTGCGTCGTGTTACACGACCTTAATTTAAGGAAATTTGCCGGGTGGGAAATTAAAAAGCAGTGCATATAATTAGTATAAGTGTTTCAATTTGTATTTGTAAACTTTGCTCCAATGTTCGCCTCAAAGTTAAAAAGTTCATGACAGATTTAGATCGCGAGGTCTGGTTCGAGGACGTCGTCGTGTTGTTGACAAAAAGAGATTTGGATTTTTATATAGGACGTCGACGTCAAAAGTACGTGGAATATTTTTTTGGTTTGGAAAATGCATCTTTATTACAGAATACTTGCGTGAATAAATCTATTTCAAGTAAAGGATGATGAACAAAAGGTTTACCATAAACAGAGTTTGAATATACAATGAAAGCTGTATATGTATGTTACGAACTATTGCGATGGCCGATGAGTATCTACGGATTGTCAATGAAACCATAGACAATCCAAAACACATGTCTCCACATGTCTTGTCTATGATGAAACTGAATATAAAAACTAAACTTTTACCAAAAAAAATTTATTTTTTTTGTTTCCATTTTGCCTTTAAGTTTGTTCACAAAGGTGTTTTTAAAATAAAATTTCAGTCGTTAAATAGCGTAATGCTCTCGTGATATTTGTTGTATTTTTTTTATCCACGGTTCATGACAATTTGGACATTTGTTTGGGTAAAATGAGTTTGCAATCTGTTCGTGATGCTTTAGTTTTTACGCGAGCTCAACGATATATATATCTGATGCTGAATTTGTTTTGTTGTACAATTACAACTGGTCGAAACTGCTATTCCTTATTGGAGATTCGAGTCCTTTAATGTTGATGCTTGGGATGACAAGGAATGCAGGACTGAATTACGGTTTTCCAAGAAAAACCTGTCTTTACTGAAGCAGCTGTTGGGAATTCCTGAAAAAATCACATGTCAACAAAGCACAACATGCTCTGGGGAAGAAGGTTTGTTCATTTTGTTGAAATGATTTGCCTATATCCATGCATATACAACGATATGGTTAGCCGGTTTATCACCAACCCTTGAATCAGTTGGATGCAGCAACCAGGAACATTCTACATCTACACAAGAATTGTTCGTGCACGCGTTTGAGTTTATCCTGTGTTCGTGTTCAGTCAAATTAAGTATTAACTTGTGTTTCGGTATGTCTTCAATTGTGACAAGTATTCTCAGTTCAACAGTTGGTTTATTATGGAATGAGGTCCAAAATGCAACATGTGTTGTAGGCACAAGCCCACTGGGCGTGTGTGGAATTTACCATTCCGCCGAAAATATTTGAAATTTGAGATCTCTTAAATGGCATTTTAAGCATTCTGAGAACCCTTTTTGGGAGAAAATTAGGTTTCCAAAAAAAATTGTAATGGCACATTTTGTGATATCAGAATTAAGCTGGGAAGTTACTAAAGTCACCTTGCCCTTCATAACATATTAAATATTTACTCCATCATTATTAATATCAATGTTATTACATAATGTAACATCATCCAGCAGACATTCCTATCCGGCAGGTAGGCAAGATTATTGGTTGCCTAGTCTGCTCCAGTCCTCTTTACCTGGGGTTCAGTATGGGGCTCTTCATTATAGGTACCTTAAAATGGATGAAAAAAGATGCTCCTAAAAGAGCGAAGGGTAATTTTGATTCTTCTATGACTGTTTCTGAGAATGGCTTGATAGGGTTACAATGGTGGGTCACCCATGTATTGAAATTTATTTATGCTTTGCACAAAGGTTCGTTGCCACAAATTTTCGATACTCTCTTCCAATATTCGAGTAATGTTCATAGTTATAATACCAGATATTCATCTAATTTAAACAGGTATAAACCATATGTTCAAACTAAAACTGGTAAACAGTCCATTTTTTTGGAGCAATTGATATATGGAAGAATCGTCCGGAAATAATTAAAAATCTACCATTGTTTTCCTTCCTTAAGCAAGCTAAAGCTCACTTATTGGTCCAACAACAAATTAATTGAAATTTGTATTATTATGCATATTCTTCATTACATAAACTAATGAGAAACGAAAATATTTTCTTCAATTGTCAGACAGTACACTATTTTAATTAATAAGAATAACAATGGAAGCTAACTAGAAAACCTAACGGTTCATTTAGCTTCCATGCTGTAAAAATCTATATGTAAATTATGAATTCTACCTATATATATTATTAATTTCAAAAATAATTATTCTGTATTTTTCTGTCAAAGAGTGAAATAAAGTTGTATTGTATTGTATTGTATAAACGAGACTCACCTCGAAGTTTAACTTTGATTTGGCCTGGAGTGTGAGAGTTTTACGCCCCCTGTTCTCTCCCATCCCCTTACTTGTAGTCGACTCTCACACTCATCACGTCCGTGCGGTCTTTGTCCGGTAACTCTAAGGAATGATTGGCGCATGCCCTGCACTCTCTCTCGTACAACTCTCACACTCCCGGCAGATGACTCATACAATCCAAATCAAATTTTAACTTCCAGGTAAGTTGCGTTCAATTTTCAATTTTGTACTCTCTTGTGAGAAAAGATTTAAACTCAATCCCAATGATTCTGGATATGAATCATATCATATAAACATTGATTTTTGTTTCCAATAACAAAGATACGTGCGGCATCTTTTTCAATTGAACTTTCTTGAAAAAAACACGACTGTTTCGAAATTCAGCAGCAAGTATCCATAAGTGGCGGGCTCATATTTTATTGAACATGGCATTTCAATACATTATTTACAAACACCTCTCTGAAGTAACGTTTACCATCCGATTTTTGGTGCGATTTTCGTCTTTTGATTGATGTGAACGAGCGAATAGTTATGATGTAATGATGTATAGGTATTGCAAGTGCGTGTGAAGAGATAAACAATTGTGATATCAACAGCTCATGTAACTCAGGTATATTTACTGCATTCGTTTATTCATCCATTCGTTCATTCATTTGAGCCAAACTCAAACTCTTGGCTGAGTTAATAACCTCAAGAAACAGTCGAAACTCTCTGCGGAGAAAAACTTCACAAACCCCACACACTTAAATTTTGTTACATTACACCTGACGCCTGTCTGCTGACATGCGGGATTTTGATTTTGGAGAGCGAATGTTTTATTGTAATTATTTTAGCCATGTTCTG